CCCCCCCCCCCCCCCAACTCAGAACCCCCTGAAGACCACAGGATTCCAAATCCCCCCTCACAATCCCCAAATTCCCCCTCAGGACCACTCCAGCCTCCCCAGACGCCCCCAAATTCCCCCCCACGACGCCCAAAATCCCCCCCTAACCAGGTCTGCCCGATCCTTTTTCCACTCCGGCCACGGCCTTGAGAAAGTAGGAGGTGGGGGGGGTCCCGATGGTCAGCGAGTAGGTCCGGTCAGGCTGGGGGGGCACGGAGGGGTCACTGGGGGGGTCACTGAGGCCTGGGGTGGTCACTGGGGGCACTGAGAGGGTGGGGGGGAGGTCTCGGTGCCGCCCCCCCCACTCACATGCACGAGCAGCCGGACCCTCAGCGGGACCCCGGGTTTGATGTCCCGGGTGCGCTCGTTGAAGTCTTTGCAGAAGGCGGCGATGGAGACCCCGCGCTGAGGAATCACCGGGGAGGGGTCGGGCCGGGCCTGGGGGGCACCGGGACACCCCTAGACCCGTCCCGTTCCCCGCAAAATTCGCCGCACCTGCCCCAGCACCGGCCCCAGCGGCGGCCCCGGCGCGGCCCCCCCGGCCGGGATGAGAATCCGCACGGGCCTCGGTGCCGCCGCTGGGGCTGACCTGGCCCCCCCGGCCGCTGCCCGGACCGAGCGCGCCGAGCGCGCCGCCCGCGACATGGCGGACGCTCCGTGAAGCACCGGCGGTCACGTGGGACGAGGGGGCACGACGGAGCCAATCAGAGGCGAGAGAGGGAGGGGCGGGGCCGAGAAGAGCCAATGGCAGGGCGGAGGGGGCGTGTCCAAAGCGGGGCGGGAAAGATCGTGCGGGGAAGGGGCGTGGCCAAACATGGGCGGGAAAACTCCGGAGGGAGAAGGGGCGTGGCCCAAGGGAGGAGTGGGCGGGGCTTGATAGAACCGGGGGATTCCCTCACCGGGGGATTCCCCCGGGGATTCCCTGCCCTCCCCCCACCGAGGGATTCCCCCGGGGATTCCCTGCCCTCCCCCCACCCCCAGCCTCACCTGGGGGCTCCCGGCGGAGCGCGGAGGGGGCGGAGGGGCAGCGGGGGGAAGGGAAGGGGGTGGGGGGAGGGGTGGGAGGGGCGCAAGGGGGGGGTCAGGGCCCCTCCCCTCCCTCCTCGGAGCCCCCTCCCCCTCCCCGGCCCCTCCGCCGCTCGCGCAGGCGCCTCACAACCTCCTCGTGGGACCCCGCCCTGCGGCCGGGGGGTCAAAGGTCAGGGAGAGAAGGGAGGGGACAGAAACCCCTCCCCAACCCCCCCAGTGACCCCCCCCAAATCCCCCTTAACCCCCTCTGACCCCCCCAAATCCCCTTTAACCCTTCCCAAACCTCCTCCCAGACCCCCTGGGTCCCCCCAAAATCCCCTTGAACACCCCCCCAAAATCCCCTCAGAGCTCCCCAAAATCCCCTCGCCCCCCCCCAAAACCCTCAGGACCCCCCTCATCCCCACTGCTCCCCCATCCCCGTTACCTCGGGGGGGTCCCGGGGCTCGGGGGGGTCCCGGGGGGGTCCCTGGGGGTGGTCCCGGACCCCCGGGGGGTGCTCAGGGCCGCGTAGGCCTCGGCCAGGAGCAGGAAGCGCCCGTGGCGGGAGGGGTCCGAGGGGTCCCCGTCGGGATGAACCTGGGGGGACAACGGCGGGGAGGGGGCCCCAAAACTCGGGACCCCCCCCGGAAATTTGGGGTTCAGGGGAGGAGGGGAAAGGGGTGGGGAGGGGTTGCCAAAATGCCAGGACACCCCCCCCCCGGGGACACTTGGTGGGGTCCGAGGGTTCCCCAGTGCTCCCAGTTCCTCCCAGTGCCCCCCCCACCCCGTGCCATTTCCATTTCCAAACCTCCATTTTTTTCCCCAAAATCGCTCTTTCTCAACCCAAAACCACTGTTTTTCCCCCCCAGTCCCCCTCGATCCTGTCCCAGTTTGTCCCAGTCGCGTTTCTGCCCCCCAACCTCCCGTTTTTGTGCCCAAAACCGCCGGGGTTTTTTCCTCCCAGTCCCTCCCAGTTGCCCCAGTACCTCTTTGCAGCGGGCCAGGAAGGCGGCGCGGATCTCCCTGGGGGAGGCTCCGGGACGAACCCCCAGGACCGCGTGCGGGTCGGGGGGGCCCTGCCTGGAGATTTGGGGGCGGTTTGGGCAATTTTGGGGCGGCTTCTGGAGTTCCCCAGGGAATATTTAGGGCATTTCGGGGTGGTTTTGGGGGGGGTCCCAGGGGGATTTTGGGGGGATTTTGGGGCAGTTTCAGGTGTCCCGGGTATATTTAGGAATATTGTGGGATATTTTGGAGCAGTTTTGGGGATACTTTGGGACATTTTGGGGCATTTTGGGGGCATTTTTGGGGGGTATTGTGGCAGTTTTTTGGGGTGTATTGGGATATTTTGGGATATTTGGGGGCTCACCTTGTGCTGAGGCCCCTCCAGACCCAGGCCCACTGTGGGGGAGGGGCGGCCCAGGGCCCCTGCGGAAGTGGCTCCAATTAGCGCCGTTAATTAGCGACTAATTAACCCTTAATTTAGCACTAATTAATCCTGAGACCCGACAATTGGTGATTGTCAGCGTGTCTGGAGTTAATTACGGTTAATTAGGGAGTTAATTACCGTTAACTCAGCAATTCTCACACATTTTACTCTTAATTACTGCTAATTAAGGCATTAATTGCTGTTAGGCCGTTATTTACCCTTAAGTTCCCAACGCTTAATTAATAACGCCACTACTGTAGTCTAATTAGACAGCGAAATCTCGGGAATTGATTAGCAACAAATCACCTGGAAATTAATGCTAATTAGCTCATAATTATTGCTAATTAGGCCGTTAAAGACCGCTGGTCGTAAATTAGGGAAACAATGACGACTTATTTAGCGCCGATTGATGTCCAGCAGCCACGGGTCCATCGCTCGCCGCCCAATTAACACTAATTGCCCCCCAACACCACTAATTCCGCCCCCCCAGCAGTAATTAATGCCAATTAAGGCCGTCCGGAGCCCCGCAGCCGAGCAGCGGTCGCGCCGGGAGCTCTCCATGCAAATGAGACGCTGGCGAGGGGGAGGGGAGCGCTAATTAGCGGCAATTTGGGGGTTAATGATCCCCCCGGCCCGGGTGTTACCATGGCAACCGCGCGCCGCGCCGCCATCGCCGCCGCTTCCGCTTCCGGGGCGGCAACACGTGACCGAATCACGTGATTGACTCTCCCGCGTTACGTCACCGGAAGCGGCGGTGCCGCGGCGATCACGTGATTCAGACGGGAACCGCGATGGCGGCGGAGGTGCGAGGGGGGGGAGGGGCGGATTTGGGGAGTCCTGGGTCGGAATTTCGGGCTCGGGGAAGCTCGGGAGGGGCCGGGGGAGGGTTGGGGGGTCCCTGGGGGAGCGAGGGTGGCCCAAGGGGGGTGGGGGAGGGATGTTGGGGGGCCCGCGGCGGTTTCGGGGGCGCTGAGGCCTTGGGGGATGGGGAATGGGCGGGGCCACCCTGGGCCGGGGTGTCGGTGGGGGCGGAATTTTCCTTCCCGTGACGTCATCGCCGCGGCGCCGGTGACGTCACCAGCGCGCCCGCGTACAGCGCCCCCCAGCGGGCGGACACTGGGGACAGTTTGGCGCCCCCTCGCGGCTGCTGCTGGCGCCGTCAGCGCGCGCTGGGGACACTCAGGGGACGATAAATGACAGCAAACGACATTAAGGTGACAACCGGTGCTTATTAGTGACGTTAATTGCCGTTAATTGTGATTAATTACCAGTGGCTGCTGCTAGCGCTGGCGCTGGCGCTGCCCCCCGAGCGCTCCCTGGCGGCCGAGCCCCGCAAGGTCCAGATCGGCGTCCGGCGGCGCCCGGAGCGCTGCGGGGACCGCTCCCGGCGCGGGGACGTTCTCACCCTGCACTACTCGGTACTGGGAACCGCTGGGACAAACTGGGGGGGGGGGATTGGGACCGGCCGGGGGCAAGAAACCCAAAAAACGGCGATTTGGGGGACAAAAACGGCACTGGGAGGGACTGGGATTAACTGGGGAGGACTGGGACAAACTGGGAGGGTCTTGGATGCATCAGGGGCAAGGAACGCTGTAGGTTTGGGGTGAAAAACGGCGATTTGAGGACAAAAGGGGCACTGGGGGCATGCACTGGTCTGTACTGGTTTTCACTGGTCCGTACTGGTGCAGGGCACGCTGGAGGACGGGACCCTTTTCGACAGCAGCCTGAGCCGGGAGCAGCCGTTTGTTTTCTCCCTGGGAACTGGACAGGTCATCAAGGGCTGGGACCAGGGGCTGCTGGGGTGAGTGACCCCGAGTGACCCCCGAGTGACCCCCGAGTGACCCCTGAGTGACCCCGAGTGACCACTGCCCACCAGTGACCGCTGAACTGGGAGCACTGGGAGGGGCACTGGGGGTCACTGGGATCCTCAAAATGATGGAGGGGGGGAAATTCCCCAGATTTTGGGGAGAACTCCCCGGATTTTGGCCACCCTGACCCCTCCCCTCCCCTCAGGATGTGCGAGGGGGAGAAGAGGAAACTCGTGATCCCCCCGGAGCTGGGTGAGACCCCAAAAAACGGGGGGAAAATCCCAAAATTTGGGGGGGAAAAAAACCCCCAAAATTTGGAGGGCAATCCCAAGGATGGTGGGGGGAATCCCAAAAGTTGGGGGGGAAATCCCAAAAATGGGAAGGAAATCCCAAAATTGGGGGGAGAAAAAACAAAATTCGGGGGGGAAATCTCAAAATTGGGGGGGAACCCCAAAATGACCCCACTGACCCCTGCCCATTCCCCCCCAGGTTATGGGGACCGAGGGGCCCCCCCCAAAATCCCAGGTGAGCCTTGACCCCCCCCCCCAGGGGGGATTTTGGGGTTTGTGAGGGATTTTTGGGGTGAATTTGGGGGGGGGATTTTTTGGTTAATTCTGGGAGGGTTTTTGGGGTAATTTTGGGTTAATTTTGGGGTTTCAGGGCGGGGATTTCAAAGCGAATTTGGGGCTGATTTTGGGGGACTCCGAGGTGATTTTTCTGGCGGATTTTTGGTTAATTTTGGGGTGAATTCTTGGGGCGATTTTTTTGGTAATTTCGGCGCGATTTTGGGGTTTCAGGGAGGGGATTTTGGGGTGCTGACCTCCCCTGCCCCCCTTTTTAAGGGGGGGCCGTGCTGATTTTCGAGGTGGAGCTGCTGAAGATCGAGCGGCGCCCGGAGCTTTAGGGGGACCCCAAAACCCCCAGGATTTACCCCAAAATAACCCCCCAAACCCCGGGATTTTGGGGTCCCCCCCAGGTTTTTCTGGGGGACCTTTTGTGGGGAAACCCCCAATTTTGGGGTCAATAAAGGGTTAAACCAAAGGGTTTTGGTGCTGCCGATTTTTTTTTTTTTTTGAGGGTGGAAAAAGGCAAAAACGGGAGCAACCCCAAAAATGTCAAATCTGCTTTTATTAAACCCATATAAAAACAACCCCAATCCCCCCTCCCCATCCCGGAATTAAAAAAAAAAAAAAACTAAAAAAAAAACCCCCAAAATCCCCAAATTCCCCCAAAATCCCGCCCAGGACCCCCCAAAACCAGTGGGGGAGGGGGGGAGTGATTATCGCTGCAGGGGGGGCCCCAAAAATGGAGGGGTCTCCCAAAATTGGGGTGGGGAATGATATTGGGGGGGGGTTTCCCCCCGAGATTTGGGGATTCCCCAGGATTTGGGGGGGGGAGGGAGGGGCTCCCCCCCGGGGTTTTTGGGGGGATTCCCCCGAATTTTGGGGTCATTTCTTCTGGGGGGTGTTGAGTTTCTGCATCCCCCGAATCTTCTCCAGGAGATCCCCCACGAATGCCTGGGGGGAGAAAGGGGCGTCGGGGGGACCCCAAAATCCCTCGGGAATCCCGAAATTCCTCCCCCTCCGCCTGAAATCCCCCCAAAATCAACCCCAAAATCCCTCGGGGATCCCAAAACTTCCCCCAGCCCAAAATCCCCCCTGAAATCGCTGAAATCCTCCCAAAATCAACCCCAAAATCCTGGGGGGGGTCCATCCCCGAAATCCCCCTGAAATCTCCCCCAATTCCTTGACAATCCCTCCCAAAAATCTCCCAAAATTCCTCCCGAAATCTTCCAGATTCCCCCCCAAGGGGACAACCCACCCCCAAAAAGAACCCAGAACCCCCAAAATCCCCCCAAAATCCCCCCGTGCCGCTCACCTCGGTGGGTTTGTAACAGTCAACGAGGATTTCCTGCGGGCACAGCGGGGTCAGGGGGGGTTCAGGGTCCCCCCAAAATCTGAGGGGGGGTCCCCCAACCCCCCCCCAGGCCGTTCCCCCACACCCGGATTTTGGGATGGACCTCGGGGGGATTTTTGGGAGGGACCCCAAGGGATTTGGGGGTTAATTTCGGGGTGATTGGGGGGCGGATTTTGGATTGGTGGCGTCTTTTGGGGTCACTTTGGGGATGATTTTGGGGTCACTTTGGGGATGATTTTGGGGTCACTTTGGGGATGATTTTGGGGTTATGATGACGTGATCGTTGGGATGATTTTAGGGTGATTCCGGGGAAGACTTTGGAGTGATTTTGGGGTTATTCTGGGGTGATGTTGATGCGGTTATTGGGGCGATTTGGGGGTTATTTTTGGGATGATTTTGAGGTCGTTTTGGGGTGTTTTTGAGGTGATATTTGGGGTGACATTGGAGTGTTTTTGGGATGGCTGTGGGGTTATTTTGGGGTGATTCTGGGGATGACTCTGGGGTGGTTCTGAGGTTGATTCTGGGGTGATTTTGGGGTGATTTTGGGGCGGTTCTGGTACCTGGACCCGGGCGCTGCGGGCGCCGTCGCTCTCCATGTCCAGCAGCTCGTCCACGTCGATCTCCAGCTCCGGAATTTCCTCCTCCTGAGGGAGCCCAAATTTGGGGGGGGGAGGGAGGGAGAGACCCCAAATCAGGGCGGGACCCCCCAAAGGACCCCCCTGAAAAGGGGCGGGGTCCGAGGTCCCGAGGGGGTCCCGGGACCGGTCCTGGTCCCGGTCCGAGTCCCAGCCCTGTCCCCGATCCCGGTGCCGGTTCCGGTGCCACCCCACCCTGTCCCCACGTGTCCCGATCCTGATTCCGATCCCGATCCCGGTCCTGATCCCGGTACTCGATCTCGATCCCGTTCCCGTTCCCCCCGCTACCCGATGTCCGGTCCCAGTCCCGGTGCCCCCGGTACCCGATCCTGGTCCCGATCCCGATCCCGGTCCCGGTGCCCCCGGTACCCGGCAGTCGTAGAGCGCCGTGAGCTGTGCCAGGATCCACTCCTCCAGGTGCAGCCGCTTGCGGAGCTCGCGGCGATCGTAGCGCACCGTGACCTTCCCGCGGCCCCGCCCCGGGCCCTCCTCCGCCGCCGCCGCCGCCGCCGCCGCCCCGGGAGCGAAGCACACGCGGGGCCCGGCCTGGGCTCCGGGGGCTCCGCCGGGGCCGCCCGGGGGGGGGCCGGGGCCGCCGCGCGGCTCCGCCATGCCGGGACCACCGACCGGAAACGGCCACGCCCCCCGACGGGGACACGCCCCCGGTGCAGGCCACGCCCCCTCCCCCGGGCCGCCACCGGAGCCGCTTCCGCCGCCTTTGTGTCCTGGCCACGCCCGCCAGAGACCACGCCTACAGCAAACCACGCCCCCTCATGATTCCATAATCATCGTGTCCTTTGGCCACGCCCCCTCCTGGTCACACCCCATTGGGCCACGCCCGCTTCCGGTCCTGTGAGGGCTCCCGGGCCACACCCGTTTAGGCCCCGCCCCTCCCATTGACACCCGTGTATCTCAGGTCACGCCCCCTCCCTCTGCCCCCGCCCCTTTGGCCCCGCCCCCGTCCCGTTCAGCGATGGCGGCGCCGCTCCCGGTCCCGGTCCCGTCCGCGCTCCCGCTGGAGCCGCCGCGCGTGCCCGAGCTGCTGGTGCGGGGCAGCAAATTCATCCGCTGGGAGG